GCCGCTCCGCCCGCCGCGCTCGCGCCGCTCCAGCCGCCCAGCGTCTACTTCTAGGCAACTCGCCCGCTAGACGCGCGGGCGCGTGGCCTAGCCTGCGCGGCGCGGGCGGAGCTGGAGGTGGAGCGGAGCGGCCGGAGCGAGTGGGAGCCGCGGGCTGCACTCCCCATTCGGTCGCGTTCTCTCTCGTGCAGCCCAGGGGGAGGTGGGTGGCGGTGCCGCGCCGCGGGCCCCCGGCATGCCCCGGCGTGAGGGCCTCGGCGAGGGTGCGGAGGACGCCGCGGACAGCGAGGACAGCGTCATGAGCGACGCCGGCGCCGAGGTGCGGGGGGAGGAGCCGCAGCCGGGGCCCTCGCAGCGTGCCGGACGGCGGCGCTGGAGGTAACGAGCGAAAAGGGGGTGACGGGGGAGCGCGTGTTGGCGGACTAAACGCGCGTGTCCCCGCCTTGTACAGCATGGACTCCAGCAACAGCGCAGAGGACGGCTTCAAGACGGTGTGGACGTCCATGCAGCAGCCCAGGTCAACTCGGGCGGCTGGCAGCCCCGGCGGCAGTCCCGGTGGCAGCCCAGGCCGCAGCCCCGGCGGCAGCCCCCAGCCGGGGCCAAGCACCTACGTCTCTTCCACCGAGTCCATCGCTGGCGGCGGCCCGAGCGGCGGCCAAGGAGGGCCCGGGGCCGTCTCGGCGTCCTCGTCCGAAGCCAGCACAGAGCAGCCCGACGGCGACAAGGGGAAGCAATCGGCCGCGCTCAGCGCCTCGGTGGGGCGGAAGGTGAGTGCGCTGGTCTGGTGCGCGCTGCGCGCTGCGCGCTCCGCCTGCCCCTGCTGCTGCTGCGACATGACTCGTCGCGCCTCCTCCTCCTCCAGACTCGCAGAGGTCGGCGGGGACCCAAAAGGTGTCGGCGATGCGGTCGATTCCTAAAGAAGGAGTCGTGGCTCCGCTCCATCACGCGCAGCGTGTCCAAGTCCCTCACCAGCACGCCGTGGGGACGCCGCCGAGAATGCAGGTCGTGCGGGAGAACCTTCAGAAGAGGCTACAGGTACAGGTACCTGCGACCGAGGCCGAGGTGTGCCCATTCAGACCACCGCTAACTGGTTCCAGCTGGTTGGGAATGTAATCGTCCACCAGAGAGTTTGGACCCCGGTAATTTAGTCGTTGTAATTATTGCATACTGACGTGGTGCAAGAGAGCAGACTTGCAGTTCAGTTAACCCTCCCCCCTCCCTTTTGGGAGGAAGGTAAGGGGTGTCGATGAGCACGACTTTGACCGAAACTAATTGCTCCGTCTGGCTGCTGCCTCTGCCAAGGAGTTTATACTGTTTCAATTGAGCTCAACAACTTCCCTATCACAACTGTTCACATAAAGAAGTCCCAAATTCACTTGGTTGAAATCGTGATGCGCTTAATTCTCATCCGTGCGACACCGTCCATGGGGTAAATTGACGTCTGATATGGTCAATCGTCACGTTCCTCGTTTGATGGCAGTCAAACACATACCGCCATGTCAATGCGCCAATAACACATTATGATAATAAAATCAGATGCGTTAGTGGGCTGCTAACGTCATAATAACTTATTTCAAAGTCGCAAATAGAGTTTAAAATAATAGTGTTTTCAAAAATTACAAAGAACAACCTCTGAACAGGGGAAGAAATATGAGTCGGGGACGAAGTTCAAGCCGAGGACGCAGTCTGAGCCGCGGGCGCAGTCGAAGTCGGAGCCGAAGCCGCGCGCGGAGCCGAAGTCGGAGTCGTTCAATGAAACGAAGGAGGAGGTGAGTCCCGGCCTCTTCAGACGATACTACGTATAACAACTACGTTAATGAATACTTAATCAGTGAGTTTTCCGAGACGTGGCCGGGGTGGTTTTGAGGAAGTCTGCTGGGCAGGGCGACGTACACTGTTAGTTGCTAACGTGCGGAAGTTTTGTATAGCAAATTGCCTATCCTTGGCTCATTAGAGGACTTCCCCTCTTTAGAGGAGTGTTAGGCCACTACAATAGAACCAAACGGACGGCAGCATAGGCAGCCCAGTTTACATCAATTCCAGTAGGGTGAGAAGCCGAAATATCCAGTATAACCCGAAATTTACTAACGGTCCGATATTTTTGTCCAGCCGGAGCCGAAGCACCAGGAGAAGCACAAGTCGGAGGAGGAGGCGAAGGCGTCGCAGTATAGATGATCAAAAATTCTTTGTATGCTAAAATTCCTCTGGTGATTCAGCTTGTCCATTTGAAGAAGAAAAAAGAATCCCCAGTGTCAATAGAACAGAGCCACTTAATTTAAAATCAAGCCTAGGATATCAGACTTTCCACCTCATGTGCTTCAAATCTCTAGTAATCCTATCTTTGGAAACATTTAAGTTAGTAAACAAATTTGTTTTTGAATCTCATGCAAAACAAAAGACATGTTATCATCATATTATAAATTAAAGGTTTATATTTTTCATTCAATACTGATACAAATATCATTTATGGCAGCCATGTTCTAAAAATGGACTTGAACACAACAACTGTTCAATAATAAAAGTACAACAACATTAACAATAATAGGTACACATACAACCTATAAGATTAACAAATGTTGAGCGAAACTAAGTACTGAACTCATTTTTTAAAAAATTGTCTGAAATCTAGAATTTAAGTAAATGTTCTAGGCTTTACGTATCATCATATTACAATAGAGCATAATTCTCTTGCTTGAAATTCACAAGAAGTAATAGCAAAATGAAATTCATTATGTAAAAAAATTGAAATAACAAATTTATTAAAAATAAATAAAAGGTCACGGGTATCAAAATTACAATACAGAATCTATTTTTTCTTTCGATCTGCTGAACACTTTGGACAAAACCATTTACCTTTCGGTTTGGTTGTAAGTTCCACACAAGGAAAGTGAAACCACTCAACAGGACACTGGAAAAGATGGAGAAAAACCATGAATACATATACAAAAAAAGCTTTGTAAACAAAATTTGAAGGAGGAGCACTTTGAAAAAACCTTACATCAGGATTATCACAGCCAATCATTTCTCCATAAGACACTTGATGACATAAACAATAGGTGGGCTCGTTAGGGTCGACAGGCATGTCAAGAACATCAGAGGGATGAGCTAGGCCTGGAACAACACCGTCAGCACTAGTGTTTCCGGCAGACCCTGCTCCTGCTCCCTTGGCTGCTGACTTAGCACCACTTGTAGCCTTTGCGCCAGCTAACATTAGAAAAAAAATAGGATAAAAATTAATTAAAGATAAAGTGTACAACACATGTTACTCCATTTTCAAATTAACAATGTATATCAAGAAATTGAAAGTATTTGTTAATACCTTTCTTAGCTTTTTTACGAGGTACTTTTGTGCTTTCATCTTCACTGCTCGCACCAACTTTCTTCTTAATATCCTTCTCTTTAATTTTTTTCCTGCCTCCTGAAAGAATTAGGATTAAATTATGACATCATATTAACTAAAACAGTAAAATTTGGTTCACTAAAATAATGAAAGACATGTTCTTACTCTTTTGGGACCCACTTTCTTCTTGATTTCGAGTGTTGCTAGCAGCTTTGTCATGAATTTCCGTCTCAAATCGTGCTAGATCTGAATCAAGTCTTCTAATGTGTTTGTCCACCTTAAAAGACAAGAAACACATTGAGTGATACAAGTAAACTATGCAAGTAAACACACAGGGCCATACCCATCAGAGGCTTAAAATACAGACCAGTTCGTATGTTTGGATAGCTAGCTGTACTTTGTCATCTCCATATTCTTTGGCTTTGTTGAATTGTGATTGAATTTTCTCCATTTGTTCTTTACGCTTATCAGATCCCATTCCTCGTACATTCTGAAGGTAAGTGTTGGCCTGACGATCGATACTCTGCATGAGATCTCTTGCTCGAGTGTCTAGATCTTTCATTAAAGTAAAGTTGCGCAAGAGCTCAATGGGTAGATGCTCTAGGCCTAGAAAGCAAATCATCAAACAATTAGAATACAATGACGCTTGAATACATGAACTAATATAATTCATTCGCTAAAGGTAGAAACACCATCAGGCCTTTAACTCGAGGCCCCATTGTAAGCACAATGGAGCCTCATAGTTAACACAATGGGGCCTCAGGTTGAGAGACCTGCCAGTCAGTCTACATTTAGTGAACTAACTATAAGATAACTCTCAATTTATATAAAAGATGAAAGGTTAGTAAAGTTACACTATGAGTCTAAGTGTAGTATATAGTTTGAACATTTAGCAAATCATAGACTAATTAATCAAAAGAGACATCAAAGGCGACTCTGGATGTTATGTATTGAGAAGGAGTGAACTTACTGTCAAGATTATTCTCCAAGTACACAGCTGATGTCATTTCGATGGTGTTTGATCAACTTTCAGAAAAAATATATGAGCTAAGTTCACAGGAGTCTGCAGTTTGTCAAATGCGCTCTGGGTGGTTTTAAATAGAAAAATATCATCCTGACTCCAGAAGAAATTTAGGTGAAAAACCACTAAATAGACAGGTTTACATCAGCTTTTCACATAACCGTTGACAAAACGAAAACAATAACCCCTCTCTCTTTTCCTCCCTCCCTCCACGTTCCACTCCACAAACCCTTTTCTCGTGTCTTGCATAAGGCTGTGTAAAGCGCCAGTTTTCAAACATTGGCGGCTGAAAGGCACACGAACGAATTGAAAGAAATTCGTATCCTTGGCAAGTAACTTTTTATTAGAGAAAATATTAAACAGACAGACGATCTCTGAGAGAGTTTTGTGGTGTTTCGTGTTTTGTAGAAGACGGGAATCGGTTGGATCAAGAAGGAAATCCCACATTCAATGGTTGAAAGGAGCAGACACCTTGTAAAGAAATAGTACCAGACATCGACAGGATTTAAGTTAACTTTTTGCGTTTGATAGCTTTCGAACCGTTCACCAATATTGTGATCTAATTAAAACAAGTAGTTATACGAAAAACACGTCGACAAATAAGGTCGATTACGCATGATGCGCAAGAATACCCTTGCCGCCACTGGAAGAGTGGCCTCAGATTGGCGGCCATTACGGGCACTTCGCTCACATGACCCTGTTGTTTGCCCCCGTGATCATTGCGTGTAGCTACCTGGCAAATTCAAAATCAGTCCACTGTTTCCCATGGATGTGATTGACCAAAGCTTGGACACCAGGTAATGCTAAACGTTACGAGTTACTTGTGTGTGCTCCTTCAACACTGTTTATTTTCTTGAATTCGTGTGATTTATAACCTGAAGGTCATTCAATTCCATTTCATTTGAGATCTGTCGGTACGTTAGTGGGACACATCTTTCAACATAATTTTCGCAGAATTTGAGGATTTAAGGACATTGCAGCCTGGTGTGCATCTAAGTTTTTGCAATAGATTTTCTTTTTGTGTTGTATTGTTAAACCTTGTAAACATTAACTTTCTTGTCATGGTGCCTGTCAAAAATAATCGCAGTACCTTTTTCCAATAATTCCCTTTTTAACTCAAGGAATACTGTTGAAAGTTAGGGATTGCGTTTCTTTTACTTTGTCTTGTTCAATTTCAAATCATATTTACCGACAGTACCTTCCTTACTGATCTGAAGAGGGAAGTTTCCAATTCCATTTTTAGCCATAACCTTAAAGAATATGCGTAGAGTGTTTTATTAATTGGCAACATAATCTTATTTCAGTGATGACAGAGATGTCGACGAAAGCATTAAGGAGGAAATACAGGTGATAGCACATCAGAGCTTAACAATCGTTGAGGATGATGCTTCACTGGGTTCCTCTGAGGATCAAGCAGCAGTCGCTGGACTAACTCATAGTATGTTGGATGGTGATGATGAAGTTCAGTACTTCAGATCTGGAGATGGTGGTAAGTATTGCTTTTTATAGTCTATTTTATATCAGTAGGAAATTTATACTTCACTCATATATTTTTATTACTGGCAGGCACACTCACAACCTATAGAGTTGTTCAAGTAGGTGATTCCGATCAGTTACCCCAAATTGTGCCATCTCCAGCATACTCGCCCAACAGCAGTTCTGGCCAGGCTGTCCTCACTTCACCTTTAAATGGTTTGTAACTACTAGAAACCTGTTTGAAATACATCTTGCTTGCTCTTGCATGACATGTTGGATTAATTCAAGCCTCTTTTCAGGACAATTTTATGTCATTGGATCACCTCAAGAGGTTTTCGGCAACTCACAAGTACAACGTTCATTAGCACCTAGATTGAGTTCAAATCATGATGGCGGACCTAGAGCAGTTCGTGTAAGTATTCTGCCAATTCAAGTATCACACAGTTACTGAAGATAAGACGAAGTACAGTATTAAATACCTTCAACAACTATCTTGCAGAGGGATGACAAACGTAGAGCAACTCATAATGAAGTCGAAAGACGGAGGAGAGATAAAATTAATACATGGATTATGGAACTAAGTAAAATTGTACCCGATTGTGTCCCAGAAACAACCAAGAGCCCTGGCCAGGTAAAATCATAGAATATACAAATTTGATTCAAGTCTCGAAACAGTTTTCAGGACACTCAGAATTTGCTTTCTTTCAGAGCAAGGGAGGGATTTTGTCTAAGGCCTTTAAGTACATTATGGAGCTCAGAACTCAAAATGCCAGACTTGCCGATGGACACAAACAGACTGAAACCCTTGCACACAAGGTGAAACAACTCCAACGAGAATTAGAAAGTTTACAGGTCAAGAACTCCAATTTGGAACAAGAAATATCACTCTTAAGGAGTCAAGTTAAATTCAGTAAAGAGTGATTCTAAACTTTGGTTCAATCAGAAGTGTTAGTAAAATTGTTTTGGTCTTTGGTGAGAACATAGTTTGTGTATTATTGTACAGTCACTCTGTGGGGCTTACCTCTGGTCAATTTTGATCCCAATCAAATAATTTTTTTTATGGTTCTGGCTTTTATGGCAAAAAAGGTGGATTTGAGTATAGTTACCAAATTTTATTATTCATAGCATTATTTTTTGTTTGTCATTGAATTTGATTCAGTAGTTGTTAGCTACAATGTGCCTCAACTTAGTCTACTATTTAAGGACAGGAACGGGTTGATCTGAGATTTTTCATAACCATTTGTGTATAATGCATAATTCTAAAAGGTTTTCAAAATTACAAATACTTAACAAAATTCTTAGGTATCAAGTTATAAATTTGTGCCAATATCTCATTTTGTGCCCATTTATTTAATAATACCAAAGTACATGTGCAATTAAGATAGTCTGCCCTTTCTAGTTATTTTTGTCTAATCGACCTTACTATCCTGGGATAATTTTAATTTTATTAGATGGATTGGATAACATGTATTGCTTCACATTCTCTTCATCTGGTGACCAGAAATTTCCCTCTTTTGTTCAAATGACATATCTATATTTGGAATCACACCCTGTACACAAATATGAAATGTTTGTGAAATATGACTGATAATAGTTATGTAAGAAAAGAAGTTGTACATATAGTATGTAGTGCATTACAATCCAATATTCTGAATGTTCAGTCCTACACTGCTGTTCAGCAAATCCTACCTACCATTCTGCTGGCAAGAAAAATAATGTTTGAACGCAAATTAAACCCATAAGATGTATAATGAGAATTGTCAGTGAATGTAGGAAATTGTTGAGTGTATTGAAAGTATGCTGATTGCTGAATATTGTGATGACTGTTTGCTGTTCATGTAGTATGGTACTTGATTTCATGTTCAAATGTGAGTTGATGATCCCCATTAGTCACTTCAACATAGGCACCAATAGTGGTACTGGTACAGCAGTAAGCAGACTTTCATTTGGCCTCTATTAAGCAATATTAGTACTTATCTGTTATCAATTTTAAGCTTTGTGTGTTAAAAAGGGTATGTACATTTCTTTGATTTGGGGCTTATTGTGTGTTGGTTGAAGTATTTTTTTATTCCATCTGGAACATTTTTCACTGCTCAGGTATTTGTATGTATTGTATGATAAAAACATCATTTTGTTAGACTTTTTGTTTCTTCAAAAAGTATGCTTAATACATTTGTAATCTTTTCACTAACTCTTAAAATTAGTGCAAATTTCTACATGCGCTAAATTTTCTTCATTACCAATGGAACAAACTTATGTTGAGCTAGTAAAAGTGGATAAAAGTTGGTAAAGCTTGCTTTACTGACTTTGAAAATGAAACCATTGGTTAACTTGCTGTCTTCCTCAGAAGCAGAGTGTTATAGAAAATGCAATCTTTAGACTGCACAGCACAGCCATCAAAATTAAATAATGGAAGGATACATGTTCATATTTGAAAAAATCCACAATGGCTTTATGATAGAATAGTACAAGATACTTTACATTTATTTCTGTGACCAACAGTAAACAAAATAGAATCTTACCTTTACAACAAACGAAATGCACTCAAGTATCAACACACATAATTTATGACAGCTTAACATCAAACACAATATAAAATTTATGTATAAATAAGTATCCAAAAATCTTAAATCATAAAAGTTCTCAAAAATCAATTAAAATACATGACAGGAATGATAAGGTTTTTGATCACAACCAAAGAAACCCTGTGAAAGGGTCCATTTCATTGAAAAAATAAGTTAAAAGAATGGCAGTAGTGATGGCTACCATACCATATCAAGGGATCAATACTGCTATTTCTTGTTCTTAGCTTCAGACAGCCGTATGTTGTACTACATAACAGGTGAAACAGTAGTCGAAGTTGTATTTAAGTTAACTTCCAACTCCCTCAAACACAGTATATTTTTCAATACTTCAGATAATGCTCTTAAGGGGAATGTATTTCATGTCCAAGAAGTTGTTGGCCTGAGCTTAAGCCTGGTATGTACTTGCAGAGACATTACCACCATGACCAGTCCAGTTAGTATGAATGAATTGACCAGGACGTGTCAACAGTTCATAAGTGTGAGCTCCAAAGTAGTCACGCTGGGCCTGTGGAAATACAAAATAACAGGAATAAAATAGCATTAGTATAAAAATTGAAAGATATTGATTAGACAGATTCTAAATGTACATACCTGGATGAGATTGGCAGGTAGCCGCTCAGCGCGATATCCATCATAAAATGCAAGGGCTGTGCTGAAGCAAGGCACAGGGATTCCAAGCTGAGCAGCTGTAGCTACAACCGTACGCCATGATGATTGGCATTTGTGCACTGCTGCTGTGAAGAATGGATCAAGAAGCAGATTGACAAGGCTTGGATTCTTTTCAAATGCTGCCTTGATGTTACCCAGGAATACACTGTAAAAGAAAAATATCAGAAACTGAAAATTTTGGAATTTAAATTTGTTTGGTGAGATGGAGAAGAATATTTACCAACCTTCGAATGATGCAACCTCCACGCCACATTAGTGCAATACCTCCATAGTTAAGGTTCCATCCATGAACTTTAGCAGCTTCACGCAAAAGCATAAAGCCTTGAGCGTATGAGACAATTTTAGAGGCGTACAGAGCCTGAAGAGATTTAAAATGTCAATTGAAATATTTATTTCTTCAAAATTGAAACAAGTTTTCAGCACATCCAAATTTTCTTACCTGTCTGATGTGTTCCAAAAATTCTTTCTTATCTCCAGAGTACTGGGTATTTTGGGGGCCCTTAAGAACCTTACTTGCTTGAGATCGCTCATCACTGAGTGATGACAAGCAGCGAGCAAACACAGACTCACCAATTAGAGTAACAGGTTGACCATAGTCAAGAGCGGAAATGGCAGTCCATTTTCCAGTGCCTTTCTGACCAGCAGAATCACGGATTTTTTCCACTAAAGGAAGGCCTGCAGAAGATAAAAGATAGGGTTAACTTTTATATAACTGGCTAGAATACAAGTATAGTATCTGTCAAGAGTATTTTACCATCTGAGTCCTTGAACTTCAAAATATCCTTAGTGATTTCAATAAGAAATGAGTCAAGCTCTCCTTTGTTCCACTCTTCAAAAACCTTTAAAAACAATAATACCGTAAAAAATCACACCACTAAAAATTGAAGGAGAAGTTCAATACAGACCAAAGGAACTAGAAACTTACGCGGCTCATTTCATCAGGGCTGAGACCTAGGGCACTTTTCATAAGGTGATATGCCTCACAGATGAGCTGCATGTCACCATATTCAATACCATTGTGCACCATCTTGACAAAGTGGCCAGCTCCATCCTCACCCACCCAATCACAACAGGGTTCATTTCCCACCTTTGCAGCAATGGACTGCAAGGGAAGAAAAGAAAGATAGTATTTTCCATACCAAAAGAGATGGATGGTTTATATTCCAGCCAACACCAACCACAACAACAATACATTGTAAATACCTGGAAAATATCTTTGATGTAGGGCCAAGCCTCTGGATTACCACCAGGCATGAGAGAGGGTCCATAACGGGCCCCATCTTCTCCACCAGACACACCAGAGCCCACAAATAATAAACCACGAGTCTTAAGATCCTTTGTTCGCCTCTGGGTATCTTGATATTCAGAGTTTCCTCCGTCAATGATTATGTCACCTGCCTCAAGAAGAGGCTCCAGTTTGGCAATAAAGTCATCCACAGCACTTCCAGCTGAAAAAAAGTGATTTTAATCAATGAATTAGAATAAATGCATCTAACTACAGATGTATTGGGGAGTGAAGAAACAGGTTCAAACTCAAACCTTTCACAAGCATCATAACACGTCGTGGTTTCTTCAGTTTAGCTACCATTTCTTCCAAACTGTGGGCTCCAATAACTTTTGTTCCTTTTGCTTCATTGGCTAAAAACTGATCTACTTTTTCTGTTGTGCGGTTGTAAGCACAAACAACAAATCCATGATCGTTCATGTTGAGGATTAGGTTCTGGCCCATGACGGCCAGACCAATCAATGCAATATCTGCCCTGTAAATTAAAAAAAAATTGATAAGTTTCAATTTTTTCATTTATTTTTTACTAATTTAGAGAATTCAAAATATGAATACAAAAGAGTAAAGGGAATTTTTCTGACCATACCACTCTTAGAAGATATAAGAAAAGTGTTCCACGTGCAATTTTTACAAAAAAGAAATACAGTTTTGGTTGAACGACATTCAACATAAGCCCTTGAAATGACTTCAAAAGACGCTAATCATATTATCAATGAAGGTGGGAAGCGGGAAAGATCACTGTGACTTATCTCCTATTTGACCTTGACCATGTCCATTCATGGATTGAATTAAGCAAAGATGCTCCATAATGGTTTCGATTGAATGACACATGAGATAGTTTTATCGTAGGTAAATGAAATATTTTTGGCTAGGCGGTGACTTAGCAGGTCTTGAACCTGCAATATTTTGCTACATTTTCATCAGAAAGTTTCGATTATGAAGCACCTTTGCAAATACAAAACTAATAAAGGGCAATAGTGCATATATGGAAAACATAAAATGATACTACTCTAACTGCGGTCTAGCAGTCAGGCCATGATTCAGTAATATTCACGTGCTGAATGACATTGCATTTTCTTTCGTTGCACTAACATTTTTGGAAGCATACGTCTTTCTTTCAGTATTTCATAACCCTTGCTGTATGTCACAGCTCAAAGACATTTCATCACACCCGCGAAAGGGTTAGACCAACAGGGGGTGTTCCCAACCCCACCCTCCAAAAAAGTGATGGTGGAAAGCGCTTACTTCTCTGCCATTGCTGCGAGGTGTCCTGGTGCGACGGCCCCGTGAGATGTTGTCGGAATGCCTGCGTAAGTAGGTCTGGGCTAGCGGGCTGACACTGGGCTCGGCTCTGCGGCTCGGCCGGGGGGCTCCGGAAGGTCGCTCGGACCGCTCGACTTGAAGTTGAAGTGATCGGTGCACCACCACCACTACCGCCACCGCCACGGCAGCACCGCGGGGCCGTGCGGGGCTTCAAGGGGGCGTGTGTTCGGTTCGGGCCGAGGGACAGAGGGAAGGGGGGCTCCCCCC